TTTTTTTGATTTTCGAGACAGGGTTTCTCCGTAGCTTTTGGTTCCTGTCCTGGAACTAGCTCTTGTAGACCAGGCTGGCCTTGAACTCACAGAGAACCGCCTGCCTCTGCCTCCCGAGTGCTGGGATTAAAGGCACGCGCCACCGCCTCCCGGCTTCCTCAGATGCCATCCGTCTTCTTTTTGAGACAGGTTCTTCATTGCCTGGTATTTATCAAGTAGACTAGACTGTCTGGGCATCAAACCTCAGGTCTATGTGTCTCAGTTATCCCATGACTACTCTAGCTGGCCTAAAAAAACCATAAAAAAACAAAACAAAACAAACCATGGGTTCAGCATATCAAACTTGGGTCCTCATGTCTGCAAGGCAAGCACTCCACCAAGGGAGCTGTTGTCCCAGTCCAGGAGCTCTTGAGATTAACTTACTGTGTGGGTTACGTGTTTTCAAAGTTTTCCTGCCTGCTGGCTCCATGACGCCTCTTGAACCCCACACCCTCCAACTTCCCTTGGCAGCTTCAGCAAATTCTGTGACCACATATGAAACATGCCAGACCTACGAACGCCCCATCGCCTTCACCTCCAGGTCAAAGAAGCTGTGGATTCAGTTCAAGTCCAATGAAGGGAACAGTGCCCGAGGGTTCCAGGTCCCCTATGTGACTTACGACGGTAAGCAGGAGCTGGGAAGCTCAGGCTGTGGCCATGGCAGGGATGGTGTGGCTGGGCTCTGAACGGAAGGAACTGGCTTCTGAGCTGGCTGGCAGATGCTAACAAGCACACCTGCTCAGCCAGCCAGGCACAAAAGGACATGGCTAACTCACTGGGGCCACATTTTAAACAGACATTTTGATTTTCGAGGCAGGGTTTCTCCGTAGCTTTTGGTTCCTCACAGAGATCCGGGGATTTGGGGACACTTACTGTAGGAAGGGAAAAGGACAGCTTAGGAAATACGGGGAAGTGTGTGGAGTCAGGTGTGAGGACATGGCTGTCGGGGTCAGGTGGCCAGCCGTCTCTTTCAGGACTTGTGTAAGTAATTTACCATCTTTAAGTCTTCTTTCCTTGATTTCTGGTGGCAACTGAACTATACCTCTAGTCAAGCCATCCTGGAACTCGCTCTGTAGACCAGGCTGGCCTCGAATTCACAGAGATCCTCCTCCCTTTGCCTCCCAAATGCTGGGGTTAAAGGTGTGCACCACCATGCCTGTAAGCCGTATTTTCTTAACAAGTAATGAAGAAAATCACTGAATGAACATTAAGAGTTTAAACTGGGACCACTCCTGGCAGATAGTAATGGCTCAAAAGTATATTAACTTTGTAAGGCTGTGACATTTATTAGCTCCCGAGAAGGGGAAGAGGTTTAACTCCAGGTCTGGGCCCTGCTGTCGACTCTGTGATCTTGGACAAGTCAGATGATGTTTCTGCATCCTTCTAACCCCTGGGGACCTCCTTAGATTCTGAGACTTGGGCAAAAAATATTTATAGTGGCCAGAACACAGACGTGTGTGTTTTGCTGTAGGTGATTTACAGGGTGGGTACAAACGCTGCCAGTGCAGAAGGCAGCTGGAGGAGGAGGACCTCCCACACCAGGCAGAAGACAGCAATTATTCTGAGTAGGCTTCGAGAGAACAAGTCAGTCTCAAGAGGTTTGGGTCTTGAAAGAATATGTAATTTGGACTGGGGTATAAACAGAGAGGAAGAACATTCAGGAGAAGGGCAGAGGATAGAGCACCTGGCACAGCCGGGGTCCGATCTGGCCAGTGGGTAGGGAGCGTGGGAAGATAAATGAGGGTGGGGGTAGGCAGTGAGTAGCCTTGAATGCCGAGCTCAGGAGAGTAGGCTTAATTTTATAGGGAGTCCTTAAAGATTTCTAGGCCAAGAGACCCCATCCTCGGCTTTCCTAGCTCACTTTACGTAGTTTATTTCTAATGAACGGCAAGGACGAGGCTCTTGCTTTGCCTTGCAGTTGCCTCGGCAACGTGTACTACCCAGGACAAGGGCTCTCAGAACCTGACTACTGGGACTCTGTTGACAGAGACACTGAGCCCACAGTTCTGCCTGGAAGCAGATGTTCAGCAAGCTCTCCTGTGTGTGAGGACAGGGAAGAAATCAAGTAGACGCTAAGGTTTGGGCAAATGTTATCAAGACATTGAGACATTTTCATATGTCACACTATTCTGCCTCTGTGATATATTAAATGTCCCCCCTTTTTAAATATGTAATTATTTATTTGTATTTCATGTACATTGGTGTTTTGCCTGCATGTATGTCTGTGTGAGGGTGTGGGATCCTCTGGAACCGGAGTAACAGACTGCAGTGAACTGCCATGTGCTAGGATTTGAACCTGGGTTCCCTGGAAGAGCAGAAATTGCTCTTAATCTTTGAGTCATCTCTCCAGCCCCCTAAGTGTCCCTTTTTAAAAATTTAATTTAATTTTATGTACATCGGTATCAGGATGTGGTCAGATCCCCTGGAACTGGAGTTACAGACTCTGGAAGAGCAGCCATTGCTCTTAACGGCTGCGCCATCTCTCCAACCCCCAAAATGCTCGCCCCACTTATTGAATCTTTGGGGGTTTCATATCATGTACCCCAATTTTGTTTTCCTTCTGGTATGCCTATATCCCCCCTCATCCCTGATGCATCCCCCTCCATAAAAAAAAACAAAAAACAAAAAACAAAATAAGCAAACAAGCAAGTAAACAAAAGTAAGAAAAAAGAAAAACCCATCAAACAAAAACAGAACAAAAAACACCCCTGAAACAGCAAAATCTGTTTCTCCTTCTCTCCTGCCTCTCCATCCTGGTGGCACTGGAGGCTTCGGTGTGTCATATAGTGTACCCCTTTGTCCCATCAGCTTGACTGGCAACTGGTTTTTGTACACCATCCTCACTGGATCCTCACCGGAGCTCTTCTGGGGTATCCTGGGTCTTGGAGGTCTTGCAGGTATTGTTCTGCAGGACAAGTCCCTTCGTGAGCTCCAGCAGAACCTAGATGGTGTGGATGCTAGGGTGGGCCAACCCAAGGCCCAGCTGTGGGCCTGGGTGTTAGCTGGTCAGGTCAGATAGAGCCACTGGGGCTATCTGCCTCAGTGGTGGTGGAGTCAGCTCCCCTGCAGGCATGCCCTCCGGTTAGATTCATCCTGGCCTGTGGTGAGGGGTGGGGGCCCTCTCTTCTGAGTGCAGGGGGCTGCTCTCTTGCTGTAGTGGGCAGCTAGATGTTAGGTCAGCTTGCCCAGGGCAGCGAAGGGCAGGATTGGCTCAGTATAGCCCTCGGATTTCATCTCACATAGTTTCTAAGCCCTCCTGCGGTGCCACTGGCTACAGACTTCAACACAGACACCAGCAGAAATGTCCCCCTTTTTAATAGAAAAATATGAAAGCAAGGGCTGGAGATGTAGCTCAGTTGGCAGATTGTTTGCACATGTATGAAGGCCATGCCCAGCCTCCTGGCATATATGCCGGGGGCACTTGAGATTCTAGTGGGAGCTGGCGGGGGTGGGTGGGGAGGATCACAGCATGAGTACATTCTGGAGAAGGGCAAACAAGGGTCATGGTGACAGGCACTGAGCATTCCTGAGCACCAGCTGGGCACCAGGTATGCACCACAGTGGCTTTTATGGGGCACATTCCTCGTGGTCATCCCATGAATCAGACACGGTCACTTCCTGACCTTATAGATGAGGCCACTCAGGTTTAGAGATTTAAATAATTGACCTGAGATCCAGACATGGCAAAGTTGCAGAACTGGGATGACCCAGGTCTAGGGACTTCAGAGCCTGAGTCTGTTACACCAGAGTGCACGACAACTTCTATTCCTAATATTAGATCCCCTTTATGGAAAGAAGCCAGCCAGTCCTCTGATGTCCAGACACTGAACAAGGGTGCAAAACTAAAACTAAAATGGGGCATGGGGCACATACCTGTAACCCAGCACTCGATGGGTAGAGGCAGGAGCATCAGGAATTCGAGGCTAGTTTTGGTTACTAGCAATTTTAAGGCCAGTCTGGCCTACATTAGACCCTATTTTTTTTTAGAGTAAAATAATAAAACTTATTCTCTTGATTTGTTTTATTGATTTGGGCTTTGCTGTTGGTGTGCTTGTTTTGAGACAGGGTCCTATGGCCCACAGAGTCACCGTGCAAGCCAAGCTGGACTAGAATTTGTGCTCTTATAATATATATTCATTAGAACAAAGCAAAGGGGCCACAGCAGCAGCAGCAATGATACCGTGTGTGCAATGATACTGTGTGTGCAATGACACCGTTGTGCAAGGACACCGTGTGTGCAATGATGATACCGTGTGTGCAATGACACTGTGTGTGCAATAATACCGTGTGTGCAATGATACCATGTGTGCAATGACACCGTGTGTGCATCAAGCACTAACTGTGCAGTGGGGGTGTCCCGTCACCATCTCTGGACTGAAGAAACTTCTTGGGAGCGCTCCCAATACCCTCCGTGGATGCTCTTTTAATTCCTGTGGCTTCTCAGCACATGGTATGCGTACAGAGAGGCAGTTTCTGATGTTTCTTGGCTTTGGAGAGCATTGTGCTCTGCATATGCTTGCTTGAGTTACGACTATGGGAAGCAGGCTAGACTTTAGAGTGGGGTGAGGTTACATTTGGATCAGGAATACCGTGTGCACTGCATTTAATGTGTGTGCCAGGACCAAAGAAATGATTAATGAGAAGGCAAAAAGGGCGTTCTTCTTTCTCAGATAGTCAGTTCTCCATCCCCAGCCCTATTCCAACTAAAGACAAGAGCCATTCTGGGTTCTCAGATGCTTGGTCACCTTATCCAACGCAAGGACGGAAAACAGTGGGGGTGACAGGTACTAGGGAGGGAAGAAAAGCCCACATGAGCTCACAGTGCAGGGAGCATAGGTAGGAGTAGACCACCAAGCACCCAGTCCCAAGAGCCTCCTACAGGAAAAGGCCAGGGACAGAGGAGAGCAAAGACTCCCCAGGGTGCTGCCAGTGAAATAGCGGGAAGCCCACAGCGGAGTATTCTGAAGATGAGAGAGGAACTGGATGAAGGAGGAAGGTGAGCAGCCAGGTCAAAGGCTACGGATGCACAAGGAAAGGGAGGACCAACATTTGACATCGGGACACACATCATGAAGCTCACTGCGGACCTCAGTAGGCAGTCTTGGAGGAGTGCCTGGGACTGGACCAAGCTCCATGGATTCAGGAGAGGAAAAGTTCACTTGTAGACTGTGAGGGTTGACCCTGCTCTGGAAACAAAGGGGAAGACATGAGATGGAGGACTGGCAGGAGAGATGGAGTTAAACAAGATATCCTTAAGATCAGTTTTCGCACTGGGGGGAAAGAGCAGGAAGATGTTGTGCAGGAAAATGTGCAACATTACTAGCACAAATGTCCTTGACTTGGGAAGAGAAGGTGCATCTGGTGTGGGAGGTAGAGGATGGGTCTTGGCTGGAGGCACAGAAGGCTCCTTGGAAGGGAGGGGAGAAGAGGGAGGGAGGCAGGGCAGATGCCAGCTGAGTGGAGCTGCTGGATGCCTTTGTCCTCTCTCTGTCAGAATGGAAAGGTTCTCTGAGAGCAGTCACTGAAGGCGGCTTCTCGGGGACACAAGAGTGGGTTTGGAAAGAATTAAACAGTGAGAAGCAAATGTGTCCTTTATTTCACCAGAAGACTACCAGGAACTCATTGAAGATATAGTTCGAGATGGCAGGCTCTACGCGTCTGAGAACCACCAGGAAATACTGAAGGTGAGTACCTGCCTCAGCAGACAGGAAGGGAGCCATGAGCTCCCCACACACAGCTCCTCCTTCCAGACACTGAGCCCAGGGAGACCAAGATTAGCTCCCTCCTTTCCTGTGATTTAACTTTGTTAAATGTCAAGTTTCTGTCTTTAGTATTTTTTATATATAAGCATTAGTATTTTATGTATATAACATATATTTGAGAATTATTTATCTATATAATACATTTTATATATACAATGTATTACACACACACACACAAAAAAAATGTAGTTTGATCTTATCTGTCCTTCCCCTAACTCCTGCCAGACCCTGCTCAAGGTATTCCCTTCCTAGTTTCATGGTCTCTCTTCTTTTTAAAATGACTACTGAATTCAATTAATCCAGTTGTAGTACATATAACTAGTGTATGTACATGGCTGTAGGGCCAGCCTCTGGAGTGGGCTCAGCCTGCCAAGGACCATACCTCTGAAGAACACTGAGTGTCTCTCCTCCAGCAGACAACAACTGCTCCTCAGCTAAGGGCGGGGATTTGTGAGCTCTTCACCAGCCCATCCTGGGACTCTGGCTTGATCTTGTTCTAGTCTTGAGTCAGCAAACACAGCCGCCGGGAGTTCATGAGCGCAATGGCTCTGTTTACACTGGGCGTCTGTGGAGGGCACTTGCTTACAAATCCAGGTCAGGAACATATAGGTATTTTCATGTTCAGCCTGAACAGTGAAAGATCATTGGCTCCTAGTTTATGAGCTCAAAGCCCACCAAATTTTAGATGCTTGTAAGTAATTAATAACAAATTCTTACCTATCACTAACCCTAAACTGTTTTCCAAATTTCTATGTTGGATCTCATACAGTTGAGAAAAAACCAACTGTCATATGTCAAAATTTCTTTCATCAAGTAATGTATATTTATTATTAACAATTAAGGAAAATTAAACCTGGAGCAAAGATAAAAATCAGGGGAGCCAGTTTTCACCAAGTGTTTTCTAACTAGTGACCTTCCCGTCAATAGTGAGTCATGATTTCATTGGCAAAGTGCCAGGAGGTTTGAGTGCTTTGGCCTGGTAACAAACATTCTGTTCTCTTCAGGATAAGAAACTGATCAAGGCTCTGTTTGATGTCCTGGCACACCCCCAGAACTATTTCAAGTACACAGCCCAGGAGTCCCGGGAGATGTTTCCAAGATCTTTCATCCGATTGCTACGTTCCAAAGTGTCAAGGTTTCTGCGGCCTTACAAATGACTCTTCCCACGTGCCACCCAGAAGAGTGTCCACCGCGGGCAGTGGGCTGAAGCCGTCTACCCTCCACAGGCCTGAGTGTCACCGGGTTGACAGCATGCCCAGTTCAGCGACTCCTTACAGCTCAGTTTTTATAGATAATACAGATATCTGGGGAAGCTGAACTTGGGTTTCTCCCCCAGCTTCAGATGGACGGCAGATGGCTTCAAGCAGTACCAACTTCTCACTGTGTGGGCACGTGTCCTGGAGGTGTCAAGGGCTGGCTGAATGGCCTCCTCTGATGGTCTGTAGTGCGAAGGAAGCCACAGAAGGGCCACTTTGGCTGCAACTCCACTTCCTCCAAGGCCAGTCCTCTCTCAGGGAGCACCTGTACTCGTGCAGAGGTGACCAGGCCAGACACCCAGGCCATCTGAGTCACGGGAGGGTTCTGATCCCCTCAGCCTCTGTGATGCCCGGTTAATCCTAAATACATGAGTTCTAAGCACTGATGGTTTAAAACAAAGGCTAGAAAGAATCAGACATGAGAAGGCGAGAGCAGCGCTCTGGAGACATCAGTAGCGCGCACAGCAAGCGCGGAGGGCTGGGCGCAGCGGCCTTCCCCATGCCTTCAGTCACACTGAGCACTGTGCTCGGGCTTGGAGAATTCTAGGATGTGGTCTCGATGCCTGACAGTTATCCACCGTCATCGAAGGGAGATTTCACCAGGCCAAGGCCAGTACCGCAAGACTCCCTGTGCTAGGAGCCACTGGCCCCAGTGCCTTTCCTTTTCATTCTCCCCGAGCGAGAGAGTCTGAGAGAAGTGACATCACGCAGGCCACTGTCATCCTTTGGTGGTGGGCCACACTCCTGTTCACAGGCCACGGCCGAGTCACTTTGGTCTGTGCAGTGGGACTGCATAGTGATCTCCTTCCAAATAAACTTTTCAAGATTATTGAGCTTTTAAACATTTTAATCCCCTATCCCCACCTCCCAGGCAAAAGTCTCACTACAGAGGCTAAAGAAGAGAGCCTATTGGGCTAGAGATGTAGCTCAGTAGTAGAGCACTTGCCAAAGACATGCAAGGCCCTGGACTTGGCCCTCAATACAACTCCCCCCCCCAAAAAAAAAGAGACCTGTTAATCAAGCTTTCCTCTCCCTAATGGATGGACTGACTATACACAGCCATAGGGTTTTGCTCTTTCTGTGGCAATTATAGTGCATAATTCTGTTTACCAAAGTACTAAAAAATGTTTAATAAGCATTAAAAAGAAAACAATATTTCATTATTATTGAACTTGGTTTTCCACCTCAATATTTTTAATCTATTAATAACATTTTTTATAATTTTCGCTTTTTTTTTTTTTTTTTTTGGAGACAGTGTCTCACTATGTAGCTCTGGCTAACCTGGAATCTATATGTAGGCCACGCTAGTCTCAAACTCACAGAGCTCCAAGTACTGGGATTGAAGGTGTGCGCCACCATGCCAGGAGACATTGACATTTTTGAAGCCCTAGTGAACTTTTAATTTTTATTTGGATGAAATTTCTCCTCAGGAATTTGTGCTCCTTGCTAGGCACAGTGGCGCCTGTAATCCCAGCACTCAGGAAGTGTGAGCTGGAGGATTAGGAGTTCAAGGACACCCTCAGTGATTAGAAAGTTTGAGGCCAGTCTGGGTTATAAGAAACCTTTTTTTCCAAAAAAGTTTTTAAACATATTCAGTTAAAAAAAAATCATTAAGGGACTAGAGAGATGACTCAGCAGTTAGGAGCACTTGATGCTCTTCCAGAGGACTGGGTTCAGCTCACTCTAGGCACTCACCACTGCCTGTAACTCCATTTCCAGATGATCTGTCGCCCTCTTCTGGCCTTTTTGGGCCCTGCATGCATGTGGTGCACATAATACCCACATACATACCTATGCAATGTAAAAATAATAAACCTTCGACTTTAATGTTTAAAATTTATTTTATGTGTATGGGTGTTCCGTTTGCATGTAAGTCTATGCACCACATGGAGGGTGTTAGGTTCCCTGGGACTGGAGTTACAGACGACAGACTTTTAAGTCAATAGATGGATGCTAGGAATCAAACCCTGGTTCTCTGGAAGAGCAGTCAGTGCTTTCAACTGTTTGCTAGCTCTCCAGTCTCTCAGCATTTCCACTTGTATTGTTTTGAGAAAGGGTCTCATTTTGTATCCCTGACTGGCCAGGAACTGGTTGGCCTTGAACTCACTTACCTGCTCCTACCTCCTGAGTGCTGGGACTGAAAGTGTGCACCACCATACCTGGCTATAAAATAAATCTTCTTAAAAAAAAAAAGTTAAAGTGCATTTGATATGCTACAGTTTGACCCATATTTCTGAGTTTGACCATAAAGTGGAAATTCAGATTTCGCCTGAGTTAGTGACCCAGCTGATAAGTTCAAGAGGGTTGAGTCTGGTAACTTTGTGTTCATGAGAGCATATTGTATTGCCTTTCCAGAAGGTTGGGGGTGGGTATAATTGGGGTTTGGTAGGAGGCTGCATGGAACAGTGGCTTTGAAGTATTCTCTGGGAGCTGACCACATACCAGACCTATGTTTCTGGTACAAGCGTGAGCCCCTGAGGTCTTCAAGTTTCTACTCTAGGCATATCGGCTGCCCTGCTAGGAAGCGTCCTGGCTAGCCAGAGAGTTGTCTACCTGCTAAGTTGACCCACATTGCATATCCAGTCTGCACCAGGTACCACTTTAGGCCATAGAGATTAACCAAAGACCTCAGTAATAAGGTAGATAGGGTCTTAGCCTTCAGAGAGCTTATATTTTGGAAGGCAGAGACAATGAACTTGAATCGACTAGTGGTAACTACTATGTTCTAAACTAAAACTGATGTAACAATGGCTCTGTCGCCATTTTAGGTTTGGGGACTGTAGAGGGCAATTTGATGTCACTCTTAGGTGCCGTCCATCTTTTTTGTTACGACCAGGACTCTCACCAGCCTGAAGCTCACCAAGTATGCTTGGGTGATCTGTGAACCTAGGGATCTACCTGTGTCTGCCTGCCGGGTTACGGGATTACAAGCACACGCCACCACACCCAGCTTAACTTTTCTTATGAGGGTTCTGGGGATGGAACTCAGGTCCTCACGTTCACACAGCAAGTACTTCATCCTCTGATTCCCCCCCCCTCCTTTTTTTTTTTTTTTTTTTTTTTTGATTTTTCAAGACAGGGTTTCTCCGCAGCTTTTGGTTCCTGTCCTGGAACTAGCTCTTGTAGACCAGGCTAGCCTTGAACTCTCAGAGATCCGCCTGCCTCTGCCTCCTGAGTGCTGGGATTAAAGGTGTGCGCCACCACTGCCCGGCTTCAGGCTCATGTTTTTTTAAAAGGTACCATGGACTCTGTGGTTGGCTTTGAGGACACAGGTACAGAAACGGTAAATAGGAGGCTGGTGCCACAGACCAAGCACCCATCTGGGTGGGTGTGGGGGCGGGTAGGGCTCCACAGCTGAGTGACCACCTTCCTGTCGTTAGAGCTGTTTCTGTGGGTGCGTTCTGAGCAGGCACGGGAGTCTGTGAGTCCCACCTTCCAGCTGCGGATATTGTTCTGAAGTCACACACTGTGGCAACTCTGGCTGTGGATCCAGCAACTTCTCCTCCGGCTCCAATGCTAATGAGAGCCTGCCTTTTCACACCAGCAGATGATTACCTTCCCCTGGGGAAATTACTTCCTCTGAATCATCCTCCGAGCTGTTAAGAGCAATGCCTAGAGGCGTCTGCTGTATTTAAATTTGCAGATGATTCTCACACAGCAAGCAGGAACTTGGGAAAGGCAAAGGCTGAATTCAAGCAGGAAGGATTCACTTGCCCTTGGGTAGAACTTTGCTGGAAGATGGACCAGGGCTGTGACCTGCTACAGACTGCCTCGGCTTGTCAGCCTGTGCACCAGGGGATACTCCTCCAGGCCTAGCTACAATCTTCATCCTTCTGTTTCCTACTCCAGCCTGAGATGGGTCCTGAGAGCTTTCCCCATGTCTACACGACTTCTCAGGAGCATCTGAGAGGCAAATGGATCAAGTGAAGCTAAATGGTTCCTCATTAAGTAGACAGAGCCTTCTTACCCATAGCTACCTAACAGGCAAGCCATGAGCTGTCCCCAAAGACGATCCTGGAAGAGGCCAAAGGGACTCATCCATAGGAAATTAGAGGCCATCACAAGTCCTTCTTTTTGTGACCGACTCCTATTCTAGGGGTATGTGATGTGAGCTCCTAGTATCCCATCTCCTTCCTCTAGGTATTCATAGCAGCCTGCCGGAGAATGACTGGTGGCCCAGCAGGGCTACTCCAATGATTAGAGGCAGAGAATAGACCCCCAAAGACACAAGTAAGCTGAATATGGTAGCTCTCACATGTAATCCCAGCACTTGGGAAGGCAGCTGTGTGGCTGTCTTTTTAAGGCCTACCTGGGCACATAGCAACCATCAGACCAGCCAAAGCTACAGAACAGGACTCTGAAAATAATAAATGACACAAGTATTTTTCAAGGATCACCCCAAACAGCAGGAGCAAAATAGATTTAGAAAATGAAGCCACTTTAATTTACAGGCAAGTTGTTCTAGTTGAATTAAACAATACAAATTAAGCCCATCTACCACAATGGTGACAGCTCAGTATTGCTTGGTTTTCCGTTTCCTGGGGCAATGCAACTACAGACCTTAGTTACTAATACTTCTTTGTTGCAGGTTTGCTTCTTCTTTGATTTGTGCAATGCATATTTAACGAGGGTCCACGAAATACTAGGCATTGTAGGAGCTCGGGGTACAGCAGTTTAGAGAAGAAATCTCTGTCCTTGTGAACTGAGAGTCTAGTGGAGAAAGGAAAAACAAACACGAAGGGGGTATGTGTTGGCGCTGGGCAATGCGTTTGCAGTGTCTGTCCTCATTAGGATAAGCTAATCATTGGAGTTGTGAGTCCAGGCCCATCCAGGGCACTGGCTCCCCAAACTAAGCCTGGCAGCAGTGCCCTGGAAAGCTCCTTGACTCACCCAGCAAGAATTTAGCATTGCCATGCTAACCATAGCACCAAGTGAACAAGCAAGTCCTGGAACTGGTGCCACCTAGTGGTTAGAAAGCAGAGTTGACCTTTGCTATTTGCCCATGCTATTTGCCTGGGAACTTAAATGCCTAAAATTCAAAATAACATGCTACCAGATAGGGTTCTGAAGGGCTGATCTTTGATAGGTGATTGACTACAAGCTGACTTGATATAGAAAACAGAGAGTATTTATTGGTTTAGAACCTCACTCGGCCTGGCCTAATTAGTCATTGGTTTAGGTGATTTCAAGCTATCAACAATACTGTCCCCTAACACCATCGCTACTCATTCTTTTTTATAATATTGGCATTAGGGTAGGATGGATGTATATTACTGAGTTGGTGAGGAAGAGGAATTGAAAGAGGAGGCTACAGAGATGGTTCCATGGTTAAGAGCACTTGCTGCTCTTGTGTAGGAACAGAATTCAGTTCTCAGTGAATGTCTGGCTGCTCACTCCAGGGATCCAATATCCTCTTCCAGTCTCCAAAGGTACCCACATACAGGTTTATGTACCCATACATCTGTGCATAGTTTAAATCATTTTTACAAAGTGAATGAGGAGTGTCTTAGTTTGGGTTTTCTTTTGCTGTGAAGAGACACCATGACCATGGCAACTCTTAAAAGGAAAACCTTTAGTTGAGGTGGTGGCTTACAGTTTCAGAGATTCAGTCCATTATCACCATGGTGGGGAGCATGGCAGCATGGTGCTGGCCACACCTTGACCAGAAGACAGCAGGAAGCTGACTGTCACATTGAGTGCAGCCTGAGAAGGGACCTCAAAGCACGGGGGCCCAGTGACACACCTCCTCCAACAAGACCACACCTCCTAATAATGCCATTCCCTTTGGGGGCCATTTTCTTTTAAATAACCAAAAGGAGGAGGTCACCCTCAATTTGTAATCCTTCAGATGTGAAGCATCTGTGGCTCTAGATGCTACGACATCCCCAACTTGGATTTTTCTCTTATCCCAAAATATTTTCCAAGACTGAAGGGCAATTCTGAGGTACAGTCTGGTGTTTTCTATCTCTTCCCTGGTCAGATTTGAAACATCCTCCCAGGTCCAGGTGTGGAGTGTTTGGCTCCCAACTGGTGGCACCGTTTTAGGAGGAAACGGGTCCTCCAACGAGTGTGCCCTTGGAGGTTTCTCCCGTCCTTTCCTTGCTTGCCGATTCCTGTCTGTCCCTAGGTGAACAGCCTCTCCTGCCCCTACACTC